GCATCAACAATGCACCGATCATCTTCCTCCCAGTCTTGCCAGCTACAGTGCCGTCCATGCCACTGGGTTGAAGCCTGCAAAATACTATCCCAGGTTTATGCTCCAACTACAGCGGAAATATTCCCAGAGACAGCAAGCAACTCGGCCCATGCAAGACTCGCACTCATCGCACACTCGCCACTTTTCTCGGTGCTGTTCTCTGCAATTCCCGTGCGAATCGAATCACGAGATCCACGATGAGCTCGACACGCATTTCGAAATGCGCATCAACCTCCACCGAGAATAGTTTGCGCGCACGGTGCCTCGCATTTTCTTTCGCAAGTCCCAGTCGTAGTTGTTGTCAATGTTGATTGCTCGTCTCTCTGTCGATCGATTTATCATTGGAGCCTAGCGTTACTAGACAAAAACCCACTTTAGCAGCCTCTCGGGTCTCAAGCTGAACCGAGACACGACGCAAGTCACCTCTGTCGAACATTCCGACGCGGCAGCTTGTTCAGCCGTCGAAGCCGACCAAGGCACTTGGTATCCTCGTCGCTCCGAACCTGCCGCGCAGCGCACGCTGTGGCGACGCACTGCGTCGCCTGCACGACCGGCCGCTCCTTTGGCGCCACAAGTCGACGACCCTAGCTGGCAAGGCCATGATACTGCAAGCAGTCAGCCTGCCGGTACTTTGGTACCGGTACCAGCTCGCGTGGGTTGCTCTGGACAGCAAGACGGCCGATAGTATCTTCCACTTCGTCAACGGCGAGCTGCCGGTCATCGCCTTCCGCTAAAACATCAAGCCGCCTCGGCCTCAAGCCGGCGCTTGTTACGTGGTCCGCCCGCCACCAGGGTCACTTAGCTACGTGCAGGCTGCGTTCACGACGTTCCCGGTCCCGGCTTGGTCGTCGTCGCCAAGCATAGCTGTCATTGCCAACGCCTGCGCGCCTTGGGGCAACTTTGCCGACCTCGGCTTCGCCGACCCGTCGCCCCCCGGATACGGCGCTTGCTACAATTGGCGTCGCCAATGTCATGCAGTACTACATGTTGCAGCCTCTTGCTCACAGTTGCAACAAAAGTTGGCGAGCGTCGATAGTCTCCAGATTTCGCAAAGTGAACGAAACCGCTTGAGTCTCAACA